CTTGTGAGCTATATAAATGATGAATAGTCCAGAATACTAATTGTGAATCGCCTGCACCTAACACATACTCATACTAGTGTGTCAAACCAATACTAAATAACAAAAAATGTGCTGCGCTTCACTCACTAATGCTAAAATTCAAATAATAAATACATCCATGTACTTCTATTAATAAGTGGCAAAAATAATATATTAACCTCCCTGGCGGTATGATTATTTCAGATTTTTGGTGCTGAAAGCGGTACCATTATTTTGCATAAAAATTTGGCGTTTTATATTGTAGGCCTGTAATTTTTAGGAATAACTCACTGAAATCTGTACGAACAAGAGTCTAGTAAACATTCCGGGTAGGATAAAACTTGAAACACGAAATAATAATTTAATAAATAATCATAAAAAATAATAATAAATTTAATTCAATAATATAATCAAACCAAAAACACTGAAATTTGAAACATAGCGCCAAGTTTGCACATCACTGAGCAAAGTCGCAGAATCGTTTTCAGTGTCTGATGACGAATTTCCCCACTAATCATTATCACTCAATTCTGCAAGTGGTTCTGATTTACTATCGCTGTTCTCTAGCTGGTCTAAAACCGCTTTTGACCTAAAGGGACAATTTTTGGACGCCATGGACATTTTCTAAGTTTCCAGGCAGAAAGAACAGTAAAAATGCAGGCAGGGCACAGGACAAAGCACTCGGGACAATATGTATGTGAAATGCTTTGAGACAGTAATGTTTTACTATGTCATATTCGTTTATTAGAAAATGACAGTTTCTAAAATTTTTTAAATTTGCTGCCGGTTCCGGCCCCCGTACGTCCCGACACTCGCAGGGACCGGAACACGGAATCGACCGGAGGATTTGGCCAGGGACGCTGCAGGGGACACTTTGCAGGAGTGAAGGACAAGGTAAGTGCTGCAGGGTATCCCTGAGCAACGCCGCATGGTAAGCCCAAGTGTAGCTCGGGGATACCGCTTTTGGTACTGAAATTTTACCCCGAGCTACACTCAGGAATACCGCCAGGGAGGTTAAATAAATAAATCAACCAATATCAGTAACCCAAAGCAATGTCCATATACATGTCAAAAAAAAGTCCATATATATACTTCTTCAGAAATACGTGTTCCCTTAAAATGAAAAATATCCAGCTTCTTAATTGATCTCCTGTGTGAAAATAACTTGTGATTCAGTAGCATACAGGAGAGCCTATTGATCGAGAGAAGGGAGATCCCAAACAGAGGATACCATCCCATCCACAATTTGGCCCATTTAAAGGGACACAAGCGTTATAGGACCGCACTTAATGATTTGGTCATATTTCTGAGGTGAGAGCACAACCGGTGGGGGAGTACAGAAATGTAAGTTTTTTTTCACACAGGAGATCAATTAAAAAGCACTAGATATTCATTTCATTTTAAGGCAACATGTATTTCTGAAGAAGTATATATGGACTTTTTTGACATGTATATGGACATTGCTTTTGGTTACTGATATTGGTTGATTTATTTAATATAATATTCTTGGCATTTATTATTAATAGAAGTACCGTATTTTTCCGGCGTATAAGACGACTTTTCAACCCCTGAAAATCTGTCGGGGTCGTCTTATACGCCGGTGCGAGCCGGTGTCAGGGCGGCACTGTTTCGAGGGGCGGCGCCGCGCCGCCCCCCCCTCCTCCTCCAACGGACACCAAGTACAGGGGTGGACAGAGGGGCTGCTGTACCTTACCTGGCTCCGGTCCGACGACGATCCGGTCCAGGAAGCGCGGCTGCTCCTTCTTTCAGTTCGGCCACTCGATGGTCACGCGGCCGCTTGGCTCAGCCTCCTCACCGGTGATTGGGCGCCAGCACTGGAAAGGCACACAGGCGACCAATCACCGGCAAGGAAGCGGAGCCGGGCGACCCCGCGAAAATCGAGCGGCCGTACTGGAAGAAGGAGCAGCCGCTCCTCTCCCCCACTGACACTAACGATGGGGCACTATTCCTCCTCCCCCACTGACACGAACGATGAGGCACTGTTCTCCCCACTGATACCAATGATGGGGCACTATTCCTCCTCCCCACTGACACCAATGATGGGGCACTATTCTTCCCCCACTAACACCAACGATGGGGCACTATTCTCCCCCACTAACACCAACGATGGGGCACTATTCCTCCCACTGATACCAACGATGGGGCACTATTCCTCCCACTGATACCAACGATGGGGCACTATTCCTCCCACTGATACCAACGATGGGGCACTATTCCTCCCACTGATACCAACGATGGGGCACTATTCCTCCCACTGATACCAACGATGGGGCACTATTCCTCCCACTGAGATGGGGCACTATTCCTCCCACTGATACCAACGATGGGGCACTATTCCTCCCACTGATACCAATGATGGGGCACTATTCCTCCCACTGATACCAATGATGGGGCACTATTCCTCCCACTGATACCAATGATGGGGCACTATTCCTCCCCCTGATACCAATGATGGGGCACTATTCCTCCCCCACTGACACCAATGATGAGGCACTATTCCTCCCACTGATACCAATGATGAGGCACTATTCCTCCCACTGACACCAATGATGGGGCACTATTCTCCCCACTGATACCAATGATGAGGCACTATTCCTCCCACTGACACCAATGATGGGGCACTATTCTCCCCACTGATACCAATGATGGGGCATTATTCCTCCCCACTGACACCAACGATGGGGCACTATTCCTCACTCTGACACCAATGATGGGGCACTATTCTCCCCACTGACACCAATGATGGGGCACTATTCTACCCACTGATACCAATGATGGGCGCAATTCCTCCCACTGACACCAATGATGGGACACTATTCCTCCCACTGACACCAATGATGGGGCACTATTCCTCCCACTGACTAATGATGGGGCACTATTCCTCACACACTGACACTAATGATGGGGCACCATCATTGGTGTCAGTGGGAGGAATAGTGTCCCATCATTGGTATCAGTGGGAGGAATAGTGCCCCATCATTGGTGTCAGTGGATGAAATAGTGCCCCATCATTGGTGTCAGTGGATGAAATAGTGCCCCATCATTGGTGTCAGTGGGAGGAGTAGTGCCTCATCATTGGTGTCAGTGGGAGGAATAGCACCCCATCATTGGAATACCATACTGAAATACCATACCAAATTGAAATCAAATCTGATGTTTTTTCATTTTTTTTGGTGTGCGTTGGAAGAGGGGTAGTCTTATACGGCGAGTATAGCTCAAACCCTATATTTTAACAGGAAAAGTAGGGGGTCGTCTTATACGCCCAGTCGTCTTATACGCCGGCAAATACGGTACATGGATGTATTTATTATTTGAATTTAGCATTATTGAGTGAAGCGCAGCACATTTTAGTATCAGAATATATACAGCTTGTCTGAGTGCTCAGAAAAAAGGGGGTGTAGAGCTGCAGTCACACTCTGATTGGAGGGAAGGGACACACCCCCCTGCATTTATTACAAAGGAACAGAGCTGAGGCTGTCACCCTGCTGGAGGTCCCTCCCACCACCTTTTTTCTCTAGGTGTCAGGAAAACTTGTCAGAAGTGATTCATGCAGATAGCAGAGGAATGAAACAGCAAACAGAAATGACCTTTACACCCTGGTCACATCAAAGCCGATTTTGAAATTGTGCAACTTACAGTCTTGCATGCACTACTTTAGAAACAGGTGCGGCTCCGACCAAGTCAGAACCGCACCGATATGACCGCTCTAATAGGGGACAATAGGGTGCGACTTGGCATACGATTTACAAGTCGCCTGGCATGCAAATCACACCCGATGTGAATGGGGGCTTAGTGCTCTTAGGCTGCTTTCAAACTGATCCGTTTTTCTTCCATGTGTGTTAAAAAAAATAATAATCAGAAGAAAAATGTATTCCTATAGAACTCTTCACACAGATCTGTTGAGGGTCCGGTGCATTTTTTAAAATCATGCTTGCTGCAGTTCTGGTGCGGTAAAAAAAAAAAAAAAAACACCACCCGTGCTGCGTTTTTAAGTCACGTCCTGTAGAAAACACTGCAAATGCAATTAAACCCATACAGATTTTTGCTATGGATTGGTGTGAAAGTAGCCTTAATTAAGACAAGTACACACTAAAGAGGGATACCCTTTGCTCATATTTCGTGTCTGAAGGTTTTCAACCACTTTAATACAGAAAGAGGATGTACGTCCCGGAGCGAGGCTAAGGTCTATCATTTCATTGGTGAAGCGTGGACACAGGCTGCAGTAGCCAGCACCCAGGTTGTCCATGTGTGATGAAAGAAGCAAGTCCATAGATTCGGGTAGGTTCTAATCACCTCCTGAATGCCTGGCAACAGTGGCTCCAGCACCCTCTGAAAAGCAATCTATGGCAAGCTTGCTGAGCACACTGCTCCTATACAAACAGAAGCCCATGCGTGCCAGGTTTATGGATGATCATGTGATCTACGCTGGTCTTGTGTGGCCAGTAGAGTGTGGGAGGGGCCTGAGGTGCCAAGGCAGGGGGTGGGGCAGGCTAGGCGATGGTGGCCAATGATGGAGGAGAGCTCGCCATCCATAGAAGAGGAAGGAGCGATGATCGGGCTGCAGAGTGACAAGGACAGAGGGAGGGCAGGGAATTAGCAAAGCTTAGTGATAAATAAGAGGGATGAGGGCTGACATGGAAGATCGGGCTGGAGGGGCCGGCTGATCATAGTGGGTGGAGGCCGGGAATGAGGAGGCGTCTCCGTCTCCCGCCATTTCCCAGTACGGACCCTCCGGGCCCGCTATTCCCGTCCATCAGAACGCAGCACATGCCCCTCTCCCCCCATCCGCACCGCTCCGCCCCCGAACTCCCGCCACACCGAGCACAGGGGCCCGGGCGGACAGCTCCCCGCTCTGAGGCCGCCTTGGGCAGCATGTCTGATCGCCCTCTTCCCCTACACCTGAAAGTCTATTCCCGTAAAGCCCTGCCCCCGCAAGGCCTACAAATCGCCCGCCGTCTTACCAGAGCCTCCAGCTTATTGACTGCTGTCTCCATGTTGAATAGTTTACATTCCTCAGGCGGACCCGGGAATACGAGCGGGGGAGGGCACAGAGGAGGAGCCCTGCCTCTACTGTACTAGACGGAGGGCACACAATCCGCGCTGCTCATTGGCCAGCTGTCATTTTCAACGTAGCCCCGATTGGTGTGCCGCCGATGAGTCCGGCAAGTTCATTGGCTGTATCGATCTCGCCCGTGTTGCCCTATTGGTTCATTGAGCTCTTAGTGGGTGTAGCCTTTGGTGATGGGAAGCGGTTGGGTGTAATACGAGAAATACGACTCGCTGATTCGCTCTCGGATGGGTACCGCCCACCTTCTTAGGCGCGAGCAGCATGCCATTGGCTGGTTCGCCAACACGCCGCCTCTGGTTTTGATTTTGAATGTAGAAGTTGTTCGGGAGAAGCAGTCGACAGCTGGCAGTGCCCTGCATTCATCTCATCCAGGTGGGTGTGAGGACCCCTGTCTTCTAATACATCATCTCCAAGTATTAACCCTTACAGGGGACGAGGGGGGCACAGAACACGCCATGTGCAGATGGCTGTTGTGCCAAGTTCTGTGCACATCCTAGATCTAGGGTTGACACCGCATCGCTTTAAAACCGAACACATATTAATTACACAGGTTCTGGGGCTGATTAAGGTGCTATTTAAACTCACGTGGTGCCTTATTTGCAACAAATTAGCCTCAAACCTGTGGAGTTAATGTGTGTTTCGGGTGTAAAGGGATGAGGTGGCAACGAAAAAAAAGGCAAAGTTTTTATATAAATCAGTATTAAATATTTCAAATGTAAGGGCAGCACAGTGGCTAAATGGTTAGCATTTCTGCCTGGCAGTACTAGGGTCATTGGTTTGAATCCCAACCACAGCACCACCTTCCTGGTGTTTGTACAGTCTCCCTGTACCTGCGTGGGTTTCCTCCGGGTACTCTGGTTTCCTCCGACACGCCAAAGACTTGCTGGTAGGCTAATTGGATCCTGTCTAAATTGGCCCTGGTATGTGTATGTATGAATGTGTGTGAGTTAGGGACCTTAGATTGTGCGCTCCTTGAGGCTTAGGGACTTATGTGAATGTAATATATCTATATATATGTAAAGCGCTGTGTAAATTGAAGGTGCTATATAAGTACCTGTAATAAATAAATAAATAAATTGCTAATACCTGTAAGGTAACAAAAGAACCTTGGATGCAGATGCCGGGTGAACAAAATGAAAGATAGTATCAATCATCTTTGACTCTGCCTACACCATATTAATGCACAAAAAATAGACTTCTGATGTTCAATAAAGATTTATTAGGAACTGTAAAACAGTTTTTTTTTACATTTATAATTGAATTTGAATTGCTCTTCTGAAACAATTAGTTTTTTTTTTTTGTTTTTTTTTTTTTTGTTGTTTTTTTTTTGTTGGTGCTGTCCAAGTCACAGTACTAATAATATACAGTGACATGATATATATGATTTACGTGAATGAATTGTGGCAATTAACACTTTTCTGTTTAGTATCACTTTAAGCTGGCCAAAGATGGATCTTTTTTTTTTGATCAGGCTGCTCAAAAAAAAAACAACTAAAGATTCCTCCTACACATTAAAGGTTGATGGAAGCAGAGGTGTAACTGGAAGCACGTGGGCCCCAATGCAAACGTTGACCCCCCCCCTCCCCGTACTACCATGCACCGCGTGCCAAGATACTTCCGCTGCTGGCTGCACATGCACAAGGTGGGGGTAGGCTGGCCACACTATGAGCTGCTAGGTGAAAGTGGGCCTTGTATGTAAAAAAAGGAAGCTCAGAGGGCCTGGCCTGGGCGTGCCTTCTGACTTCCAGATTCACATATAAGCCCACCGCTTTCATCTGGCAGCTCAGAGTGTGGCCAGCCTACCCCCACTGTGTTCATGTGCACAGTTGAGCAGGGCAGAGACTCTGAGCAAAAAGTGCACCGCAGGGGAAAAGGGCTTGTCCCGTCACCTTGTGTAGGTGAAACTGGGAACTCAGAGGGCCTACCCAGCCCGGGTTCTCTGAGTGTACTGAATTATCTACACAGATTGATGTGGCAAGCGCTTTTCCCCAGTGACACAGTGTAAAACCTAATGTGACAGGAAGGCCACATGGGCCCCCTGGAGCATGGGTGGGGTTGCCACTGGCTCTCCCCATGGGCTTAGCTTCAGGGGTCGCAGCCAAGACCTGCAGACTGAGAAACAGAAGCAAACAGAAGGTGTACAGAGAAATACTGTTCTTTCACATTCAGATCAGGGCTTTAGATTAGGACCCACAATGTTCAGGAGGGGATCCTTGAGCAGATTCCCTTCTGAATCAGAACTGAATGGGACAGATGTCAGTTTTTTTACATCCATACCCGTTCAGTTTGTATCCACTTTTACACAGTGGACAGGGGGAGACCTGTAGTGACTCTGTGGGCAGGCTACCTCTGTTCTGTAATATTTAGATTCAGAAAAACTAAAAAGCACTCAGTCCTTTTCCCTTTTTGTTTATGGACCCGAATAAACTTGGAGGTAGGTAGGTGTAAACCAGTGTTTCTCAACTCCAGTCCTCATGGACCCCCAACAGGTCATGTTTTCAGGATTTCCCTCAGATGAAACAGCTGTGGTAATTACTAAGGCAGTGAAACTGATCAAATCACCTGTGCAAAATAATGGAAATCCTGAAAACATGACCTGTTGGGGGTCCATGAGGACTGGAGTTGAGAAACACTGGTGTAAACAGACATAAGTCCATTTACATCAGCCTGCCCAAAGTTCTGCATTGAGCTTCTGATCACGTCTGCTTGAAAAACAAGGAGGTCCTGATTGGAAAGCTTGTGTGAAAGGGCATTAAGAGAGAGTTGTTGGGTGGTGGAAAACATGTGGCTTAGCTGTGCATTTTTACCATCCTCCAAATACAAGTGTAAATAAGTACATCATAGTACAGCAGGAGCTATATGGCTGTACTTTATATTCTGATAACTGTGGCTATAGTTTATATGCTGATTCTGAGGTTGTACTTTATAAGCTGACAAATGTGACTATACTTTATATGCTGATAAATGTGCTACACAGTATCAGCATACACAGCCATATAAAGTATAGCCACATTTATCAGCATATAAATACAACCACAGAATCAGCATATCATGTATAGCCACATTTACCAACATATAAAGTAGGACCACTGAATCGGCATATAAATACAACCACAGGATCAGCATATCATGTATAGCCACATTTACCAACATATAAAGTAGGACCACTGAATCGGCATATAAAGTATAGCCACATTTATCAGCATACACACAGTAAAGCCACACTCTGTAGCTGTACTGTTTATGCTGATATTGAGGCTGTACTGTGTATTGACTGTACCTTCCGTGCCCTGCCGACTGCTTGTGCACCCACCGCCGCAATTGCACACCTGCTCCTGCAGCCCCCTCTCACTCCTGCCCAGACTGTTCTCAGTATCCCTCTGCCAGAGACAGGCTGTGGGCTGCTGCTCCCGACTGAAACATTATTTCAGCATCAAGATCTGCAGCTTCGGCTCTATCCTCCTATGCACCGAAAATAAGTCCCCTCACTGCTCTCCATGTACCGGGCCATCTACTGTGGGCAGACAATGGTTTTGAAGAAGGTGAAGCACTGCAGTAAGAACCAGCAGTTTTTCTGGGCCATGCTGAACACTACCTCATGTCAAAACCCAATGTGACAGAGTGGCCGCACGGGCCACCTGGAGCATGGGCGGAGTCGCAATTGCAACCCTTGAAGCTACGACCATGGATGGAGGAATCCTCCCCACTGTGCTATTGTATTTTGACAGCAGAATACACTGATTATCGTCGCAGCCAATTGGCTGCAGTGCTGATAAAGGAAAATTTTCCAACATTCTTGTTCCAACATTCTTGAGCAGGAGCAGCCATAGGTGGATTGCAATTTTGCGCCTCCCTGCGGAACTGGCAAATTTTCAATCCATTTATAATTATTTATTTTAAAAAAAAGGTATTTATAATGTTTTTATGGACAACTTTAGATTTACCAAAAATATGTAAAAAGGATTCACTTAAAGAGTTAATTCATTCATTGCAGTTGTATCAGATCAGGTAGGCCTTTGTACTATATACTGTAGTCTCTGGTAGATCTAAAGTAGAGATGAGCTTAGACATGTTCAGATCCTATCATAAGTAGCCAGGGCATTTCCCACCCCACATATATACATGTCCCTTGTATACATGGGACTGCAGTCTGGGAAATGCTCTGGTCACTTACGATTGGCCCAGTACAGGTGACAGCTACCTGGCAGGATCACTCATGTAGGTTCAGACCAGGATCCAAACATGCTTGCGCTTACCCTTAATCTAAAGAAGGTTGTACAGTCAGATTGTATAGTGTATGATAACCTTTCAGTGGAATTATGCTCCAGAAGTGTTTCACAGCTTCCTCACCTGTTGCTGACATCTTCAGCCAGTTTTCTTCCAGGTTCCTGATGTGTGGGAGTTCATCTCGGCAGATGCTAAAATTGTACAATCCTGTCCGTTTGTCAATTTTTTTTTTAACTAAAATTCCATTTTAAAGTTAATGTAAACCCTCATCTTACATAAAACAACCCATTCAGTTTAAAATAGAAATGAAAGGCAAACATTTGTGTATAGATATAAAAAACATTATAAACACCCTTTTTTTAAAAAAAAATAACATGAACCTTGTTCTCAGCTGCATCAGGGGCTTAGAGAGGTGGGGGTGGAGACAGCAGGGGTCGTGTCATCAGGAGGCAGAGAGAGCAGTACATCAATCTTCTCAGTGATTAGCTGTGCTGGGGGGCATGTCAGCACAAGTCTGACCAGTAGAGGACAGGCAGGCCGTGCTCCAAAGTAGAAAGCAAAGAAGAAAACTGACCACACTGAGATGGATGTGCTTTCATGCATAGTGTGGTCAGTTTGAAATAGGAAAGCAGGAGGGCTGGCAGGATCTCCAGGAACTTTACACAAAGGAATCAATGCAAAGAGAACTGTAAACTTTTAAACACAAGCACGTGGTACACCACACACATATCAGAAAAAATAAATGTTGGGGTAACATATAACTTAAAGAGT